ATTTAAAAACTGTACTTTTGAGACTGACAGATATGGCGCGATATGGCAGCGAGCCATATCAGTTTCTGTGATATTCTTATTAAGATAAATATTTTATTAATGTGGCAAGATCACTATGTATATTTCACTGAATTAGATATTGTAAGGGTGAGAAAGTCTTTTAAGCAGTGTGGGTCTGGATGCCCCAGTGGGTCATGAAGGTACTACAGGTGGGCCACAGTAAAAACAGAAATTCAGGTTGAAATTAGTCACAGGTGTGTTAAATTACACATTCATCTGAATGTATTTATTTATATAAAAAGTGAATTAAAAATAAAAGGTGGTGATATCACTGACTACTCTGACCTATATTCACTGCTCTGTAAGAACAGATCTTTATTGTCACTGTTACAAAAACAATGAAACACATTGAAGTTTGTGTGTCAGTGGCAGGTGGGTCACACATTGACTTTAACACTTTGCGTTTGATTGATTAGATTAAAGATTTAGGTTTGGGTGGAGTGTGTGGGATTTTCTGTTTGTTGAGTGGGAGGAACACCACTCTTGTTTTTTGGGAATTGGTGACTTAAAATATTTTCAGTTTTAGTATTTGGACTTTAAATCAAATAAAGAATAATGCAGCAAATGTTTACACAGTTACTTACAGATTATTGAGTTGGTGCAGCTGTCTGCTCAGCTTTGCACTTTTTGATGGACTCAAAGAGATCTGAAGTTTTCTTCTGCCCTTTACAACAAATCTCACACGTAGGAAATCAAAGCTCTTTGTTGCTTTTAAGTAATTAGAATGGAAACACTGTTCCTGTTTTATTTCCAGTCACTAATTCCAAAGTGTTTACTGTTTATCTGACAACAGCTTCTTTTTTCTGTTCTCCCACGTCAGCACAGAGAAATGAAGTGAATATTCACAGGTACACACAATAACAAGAATCTTTGAAATCACTTCACAGAGAGATGATGACAAAACAACAGAAACATTTTAAAAATAGCTCCATGTTGAGGTAGAGCTTGTTTTACAGATGATGATGTACGTAAACTGTACACACTAGCAGGAAATGAATGAGTCCATCTGTACCAATAATACTCACTGAACCAGTTTGACCAGGATACTGATGAACACACACACACATACATGCAAACACACACATACTCAGTGCTGCTGATGATCGGACAATTGTAATCAGTAAATTATTGATTATTAGGTCAGTCTGAGGTGACGACTTCATGAAGAGTTTTCACGTCTTTCTGAGACTCACTTCTCCACAAACTCAAAGCTGACTTTAAAGATCCTCCAGATGTTTTCAGAGTAAACACTATCAGATCCATGTGTTATTGTTTAAATTTTTTCAGGTAATGTAGGCAAGAATAGATCTTTGCTGTAACTTGTTTTGAGCAGCCACATATCTCACGTAGTCAGCATTCAGTTTACTGAGAAAGCACAAACCACTACTTGTTTCTGTTCTCACAGACGTTCACAGACTTGGCAGTTTAGTCTGTAGACACTGACAGCTGGAGTGGGCAGTGTAAAACTGATTCATTTTGATTTTAAATTAATTGTAACTTTTTTCTGATTTAAATCTGTTTTTCAACCCTGAAGATGTTTCCTGACATGATGGTGGTTATGAGCCGATGACGTTATGCTGAGAAAAACTACCAGATGGAGACAAGAACAGAATAAAGTAAGTGGCTTTGATCACAGTCAGTGTGTTTAAAATGTTTACTGATAATGTTTTTGTTTGTTTTCTTACATTTGTGAAAAACAATTTCATTTATTGCTGTTGTTACCTTTGCCAAGGAGGTTATGTGTTTAGTAGCACTAGCATGTCTGTCAAAGTTCAATAAAACGTAAACGTTTGTTTGTATTGATGTGTACCAGCTTGTAGGGAATAATATCTGGGATTCCATATATCATGTTACTTTGGACCTCTGACCTTTTCTTTAAGGTCAAATGAGGACAAATTTTTCCTAAAAATTATTTTATCTTTAAAACTTTGAATAAATTGTTTACATTCATATTTATCAAATTATCCTGGTTCATAGTATTATAAGATAACATTAGTTCGACATATGCTTTAATATAATATTATATATAATATGCTCAAGTTGTTCGTCTCCAGTTATCAATACCTATTATCTATTTCCTAAATACTGGTCGTCTAATCAAAGTAAACATCTGTCATGCTGCTCTTATCTGATTCTTGTTGCACTACAAATTTCTCTACATTTAACCAGAACAAAGAAAACTAAGGAATATATAAAAATATATAATTTTGCTCACATAAAAGTAAATACAGAGACCTTAATTCTCATATGAGGTTTTTGAGTTGTGTACAATTAAATATAAATAGTGTATATTTTATGTGAGCCTAAGCATGTTAACATGGGGTTTTATTGTTATTCATTAGAACAAGTTGATGTAAATTCACAGAGTGCAGTGGGAAGTTGTCTCCACATCTACCTGTGTCAGTGAAATAAGTTCACTTCCTGTTATGGTCACACCTTAGTTTGCATTTTTGAAATTTGTTAATCAAATCTCTGAGCGTACAGTGGTTTCTCTGTGGCAAGATCTCAGATCTGGGTGTGTCTGTTTAAAACAGCAGTTTACTGGTCAGCTCAGTCAGTTTGGTACAGAGGAAACTTGTTACAGATCATCTTTACAGTTTTAGTTGGAAACATTTACTTTTGTAAACCAGATCTGTCGCTTAGAGATGGGGTGAGGAGTTGAATCATCCAGGAGAGGCTCAGAATAGAGATGCTGCTCCTCCACATCGAAAGGAGCCAGATGAGGTGGTTTGGGCATCTGACTAGGATTCGTCTTGGACGCCTCCTGGGTGAGATGTTCTTTGGATATCTCACTAGAATGAGACCATGCAGCAGACCCAGGACACGCTGGAGAGATTATACCTTTTGTCAGTAGGAACAGGAAGGACAGGCTTCTCTGCTTAGGCTGCTGCCCCCATATAAACAGAAGAAAATGGATGGATTCATTCATGTAAATCCTATTTTTTCCATCCTGATGATCAGAAGAGTGTTGGAGGGCTTCAGAGATCCTTCAGAACAACAGTAAGTGTTTAAAATGACGTCTTTCAGTTTTTTAGATAATCTGACAGGTTGACTGAAGTCTGTGAGCTTCAGTAGATTAACAGATTGTTCATGTTAATCCATCTGACCAGGATTAAAGCTTCACTTTACTGGTTACAGATGAATGTCATGCGAGTTAGTGTGAAGCATGTTATTTACTGTTACTGAAAAAACCCATCATATTAAATGGATTCAATATGCTTCAATATATCTGAAGAACCAACAACTGTCAGACTGACACAGTATAAAGAGGAAGATCATGTCAATCTGATTACAGTCATGTGATTTAGGAGAAGTGCTGGCAGGAGTCACATAATCTGTCTGCCTCTCTTTCTTCCTGGACTATTTGCTGCTTCTCATGTTTTACATGCGGTTGGTCCTGCTTATCCTGCTTGTGTTTCCTCACTAAATGTCCTCTATGTGGTAATATATATATATTACTCCATAGTGTATAGTACACAAACATATTTTCAGTTTGAGAATATTTTTAATAGTTCAGCTAGAATAATTCAACGTAGTGTCTCAGTCCAGCCTCATGGTTGCAGTGTTACCTCAATATAATACATTTCAAGAGGTTTAACTGTTGAAAATAATAAGTATAGATTTCTTATGCTTATCTTATAAAGTATAAGCTACACATACTTGTAGTATTTGGGCTCAAAGTAAAATTTATGAAACAGCAGCCACTGATACTATAACAGTTTCATTTTTAGTGTTAACTCACTGCCAGCAAAAATACAGGAAGTTAACATTTAATGATTCCTCCTGGTCACAGTTTACTCCACTTCTCTTCTGCTCAGTTTCATCACATTTGTCCTTTCTTTCTTTCTGTCACATGAGGAGAAAACATGAACAGCAAAAATAAATGAAATAATAAATGAAACTAGAATTAAACAATCTTTGTTTTTTTCTCTTCAGATGTTTCTAAATTTAAAAAATAAGTAAAGATTGAAAATTAAATAACTTTCTTATAAACTCATATAAAAACAAACCCTCAAGAGAAAAAACCCCAAAGTACATTAAATTTAAAATTTTACTGTTTGGATCTATTAGTCGGTCAGTCTAGTCAGTCTAAGCTAACCGGAGCTATGTTAGCTCTAATAACAAACATTGAACAGACAGATGAACCAACACTGAAGAAAAAAAAAGAAGCTCCATGTTGTAGTAGCCCTTAATTTTAGAGTTTATCAAACTTTACAAAAAGCAGGAAATCTCATTCACACAGTTTTCTCACTGCTGAACCAGTTTAATAGGGATAATGCAAAAATACAACAATACCACAATGCAAACACACACAAACACACACACACACACACACACCCTTTTCCACTCAGACAAAGCTGCTGAGGATTCAGTGATTAATTAGATCATTAAGTTACTAGTTTCAATTTTTATATTATTTTGAAGTGAGGATCAATAAACACATTTTGTCACTTAATTAAGTGTAGTTCTGTTTTTTTGGGGGTTTTTTGGTTTTTTTGGTTTTTTCTGCCTGTCCCATTTGGTTCTTTAGCCATCAGAATTGTTGTCTGAAGACAAACAAGGATACCCAATGGATTTACTTTGCCAAATGGATCATCGTGGCATTGCCGTATTGGTCCATTTGGTCGATCTTTGTTTTTATTATTTATTATATTTTATT